CTTTCTAAATTTTAACGCGTCTTAGGGCCGTAGTGCGGTAGTGACACTTTTCCGGACATGGGTCCCTATACTCAAATGTTTTCTACTGTTGCACTGAATAACCCCTAGAAGTTTGATCCCATAGTTCTGAAACACCCTGTATAAAAAGACAACAATTATACTCTTACTAGTTGCACATTTATTAAATGATATCCTTTTCTATTAATATATAAATGTTCAGAATTTACAGCATCACGAATTTGTGGTAGAAAAATAGCTATATGAGTACAGTCTACACATCCAATCACTCCAGGAAATCTATAATTTTCATAAAATCTGGAAATGTATCATAATGNTTTAGTAGTATAGTTTAGATTATAAATATTAAATATTATGTCATATTAAAGAACTAAATGTATACTAACTTGTTGTCTCAAAAATTTTAATTCATTTAAAGTTCTAGGAAATTTAATCCATTAGTTCATTATCTCTGTCTGATTTAATGCATTTACAACTTCATTAATACATCTAGATACAGATACTTGACTTATACCAAGATATAAATTNTGTCCTATACTTGTTTGATAGCTACCATGTGCAAAAAAATGCAATGCTGTCAATACCTATAAANCAAAATTGAAAATGATAATAGGAATGTCTTAATAATATTATATTATTTAGTACATATAATTTCTGTATTACTTATATCTATGATTTTTATATGTTTTATACTTACTTTTCTTTTTATATCCAACATTGATTTTCGTTGTCTCTGCTTCATATATGGTGTTAGATTTTTTATTAAATTACGCGCTACTCGTTTTGTTAAGCAAAATAATTTTACAAATTTTTTATTATTCATATTAAATGAATCAACTGCTATATGCCTTTTTGCAGGACGATTTCTTTGCACGGCAGCATATGCAACTTCAGCTTTTTGTACAATATATAACATTATCAATAATATTTATTTTTACTTTAAAGTTTATTAATAAATTGGTTATTTTGAACAGAATCATTCGCTAACGTGCTCGTAATCAAGAAGCGAATGCTTAAGACCACTCGCAGTATTGTGTACGTAAATCTGCGTATACGTTTCAATGCGTATACTTATATGTGGAGTTAGAGAATAGGTTTTCAAATATAAGCGCTNGTAACTTTGAGTTTGCGCATACGTTTCTCTTACGAGTGAGTTAAAGAATCGGGCTCCTGATCTGCGTTTGGTAACAATCTGTCGGCGCTTCTAACGGCAGATTTAGGCTGCGTTCGTGGAGCGCGCTATCAGCACTATTGCGTCATTCTATTATTGTTTTACATCTAATGAGCAATAAAGATAGAATGATGCAACCATGGTGTAAGTATACTTACACCATGGATGCAACAGTGCTGATAGCGCGCTCCACGAACGCAGCCATAGATATAGATTTAGTCTAAAAATTTCGTCGGCAGTTGACGACAAAACCGCGACATCTCGCAACCAAATTGTTTGCTGGGATCGTATATGCATGATTTTGAATTAAATATATGATAATTAGACAAACTCGAACACAGATTAACCTAACTCTTCGTGAACAGACTTAAAAAATGACGATTAGTTAGACAGACAATTTGTGAGGCCCACTAAACTTTAAAATCGAATATCTCCGCAAAAAATTAATATTTTTTCGATTTTGTTTTTTTTTATCGGAAGAACGATTCTGCGTCGAAAAAAACCAAATTGAAAAAATCTCTAGTAGTTTCGAAGATAGAAGCATAAACAAAACTAATTTTTATTAAGACGCCGATGCGCAATTTTTGAATGGATCTAGAAGATCCATGTCTGTCCGCGAGGGTTAAAACATAATAATAGATACACATAAGTACATACTGCTTATAAACAAGAAACCACACAAAGAAAATCATGCGTTCGAGCCATAGACCCAGCGCGCACTCGATCACTAAGTGGCAATATTCCAACATTTGACTCGTTATATCTCGAAAACTAGCCATATACGGATTTCGCGCCCATTGGGATCAGGACGACACGAACTACGTTACTAAATTTTCAGCCAATTTCACCGAAACCCAAATTCCATAAGAAACCTGCGGGGTCCTTTCCGAGAAATATTTCTCCTGACTTGACGCGGCACGATACGTGTACTCTTTTGTACGTAGCTCGAAAGCACTCATTATAATGGCATATTGTTTAAGATAACGTAGAGACGAAAGCCACTATGTAGGCTACTATAGTGATGTATAGTAGCTAAAAGGTTAAAACAACATTGGTGAACTTTATAATATCGACATTTTTAAAATTCAATTTGCATAGGTAAATAATCTCTAAACCTGTTGTTTTTCATGTAATTTATAAACATTTATTATCTGACTAGAACTTCGGATACCAACGATTCGTTTCGGTCAAGTCTCGAATTTTGAAGGATTGTGTTGTATTTTTGTGTGAATGTATATATTGTGTGTGTGTGTGTGTGTAAGATAAATTGTCCTTCTATTTTCGCGCGCGAGATTAATCTAATATATATAAATATTTATATCAGCGGAATGACGGCGGCTTTGTTTTGTTCTTAATTCTTTTTCGGCAAAAAGCTTCATACATCTTTGTTTCCAGTGCTTTTCGTATTTATCGTCATTTTCTCTCTGTATTTTTTTACACATTTCCGTTAGTCTATCTTAATGTAAACTGGAATCACATTATAAAAATCTTTGACGTTCTCTACATTGTATATATATATATATATATGTATATAAAGAAATGCCTCGCATCGGATGTTTGCAGCTGTGCAAAGTGTTTTGCTCCTTTCACATTTGACAATATACAGACAACGTTGCGTTTACTCTCGATTACATGTTGTTTGTTTTTTATAACACTTCAAGCTCGCTTACAAGACATACGTATACGAAGCTTCTATTTACAAAATCTCAAGTCAATAAACAATAAATTATGATATAGCAAGAATTGCAATTATCATAATAAATATTTACATTCTAACAAAAACTTAGAATATTCTGGAAATTCATTGTGCGCCAATCTCACTGAAAACATTTCTAAGGAGAGAAGTTAAAGTAGATTGCGGATGATAATAATACATTTTTAGATTTTGTGTTTTCTTTAGAAAAAACTATCTGGATAAATGAACTTATTCTCAAGTCCACGATACGTGCGTTTTGTGTTTGCAATAATCTGTGTGCACTTTTTCACTAAGAATGTTTCCGTAGTTTAAATTCATAAGAGGGAAGAAATATCAAGGTACGTAGCTAATATATATCTACAAAAACAACAGTAGTTTACAAAAAAAAAAAAGAATCGTATGTGTATAGGCTTTTTTTTTTCATCTAAACGCGATCGTCCGAAATCACTCAGTTGCTTTTGTGATAATGCGGAATATTGTGATAAATTATTTGTGTGTGTGTGTGTGTGTGTGTGGAAAAAGCATACGTGTTACACAAGTTCTTCCCTCTATTTAATTAATTATATAATTTTAAATGTATAATAAACTATCAATCAAGTTTCTTTCTCTCTTATTTAATTACTTATAATTAAAAATTATAATTAATCAAATTAGGTAATTATAATTAAATAAATTAATTATAATCTGTTAGTATAAATTAATTAAATAAGGGAGTTTTACATGCGTGGTCACACAGTTTTTTCTTTTTGGTCGACTATTTGTTTCACTAAAAAATGTAGGAACACAAGGAACGAACCTTAGTATAAATTTTTCGCGCAAACTGCCAGAAGCAACCGAGCGCTGATTTCGAGCGGTATCAAGATAGATAAAACACTCGGCGAGTTATACAGTGTGACCATTCATCTAGCCTTGTCTTTCGCTGAATCGACTTTTCAATTATCGTTTCAATGTAATAACAACTTCATGGCCATGCTATGTAAGTATAGTTAGTAAAAAGTTCAAGTGTGTGTGACTGTATACATATAAAATCAATTTTTAGCACTTATGTACGTATTACTAACCAGTCGATTCGGTAAGAAAATTATTGATATCACAAGGCAAAGTCTCGTCTCCCGAAGGTTTCGATTAAATCGTGAAAAGTTGTGCAAAAATATAAACAATATGTGTGGAATACTTTGTCTCAATGATTGATTCATAAAAAAACAACAGGAAATTCTGAGAGTAAAATTGAAGATGTTATAATGAAAACTAAATAAAATAAATCGAATTATAAGATTAAACCTTTGTCACTGTCGAGCCCGAAGTCTACTGCTATAGTTTCCCTTGATTAGTATTATATTGCGTGTAACGAAAAATAAAATTCAACAAAAATAAAGATTAGAAATAGTAACAAAACAAACAATGTTGTCAAATGATCAGAAACAAAAGAGGAATAAAAAGTTACATAGAAGAACACCGTTGACGTACGTCGTTGAGGTCTCACGAGAACTCATCGTTGCGTTATTGCAACGGCAAAAGATCGAGCAGATTTGCTCGCGGTTGCGTCATTGATTCGGGGAAGAACTCGGCGAGTTTGTCGAAGAGTTCTGTTCGCACATTGTGCACGTCGCGTATGTTCACGCGCCGTCCGGAGTCGTCCAGAATAGTGTTCTGATGAGATATATCCTCCACCGATGTACTCTGTTCGCAGAATAAAATGGATGTCAACAAGTGGAACTGCAACCAAAAGTACGATATTAATTTACATATAAAGTTTCTAGATATAATATTAAACAAAGATTAAACAAAAAAAAAAAAAAAAATACATTTAGATCGATACCTCTTTTGTTTGTTGAGAATCGTTATGATCAATAATTTCGAAGATCTTTGTCTGCAAATATTCGAGAGCTTCGATGCTGTTTCTCAAAGCGAGCTCTCTGAATTTATACTTTCTAATGAGTAGTTTACATTTGTTCAGAATTTGTTCGGCCGAGGGTCGGCGCAATTCTAACTGCCAGAAATCATCGAGTCGCAAGTTAGGAAGACAAGACCTGCCTGGATTGCCCCCGAATAAAAAGTGAATCTTCTTCACGTGATCATAAACGAGCTGATGTGCAAATCGCGGACACGGTTCGTAATCCTGCATTTTGCTCCAGTATTTTTCACCAACATTCTCGTTACGGTATATACAAGACCATTTGCTATTTCGAATATTGTAAGCCCAGAAGGAATTCTGTACGTTGTCGTCTCTCTTGTCCTTGTCTTTACTTAAACCCTAAAAATATTTAGAGTTTTTTCTTGTATTTTTATACATATAATTTATATTAAAGTTTGAGTATCTATTATTTTATAATTTAAATTGTATTTATTTGCATTTTTTGCGAGACACAAACCGAGAGAACATAAATTTCGTCAAGTTCGGGATCGATGGTAGCTCTTTGCGTAAATCCAGCCGCGGGGACATGATTGGAGTCCTTTGCTGTACCGAATTCGTTGTAGCTAATGTACTCGACATGTTGCGTGTCCACTTCATAAGTGAAAAAGTCGCTCAAATATTCCTTGCCTCTCTGGCCTGCGAATATGTACAATTTCCTTGATCGCTGCAAAACGAAATAAATGTACTGATACTGTTATTGCAAAAAGATAAAGTGTATCAAAAAATATTTTACTATAATTTAATGAAAATACCAACAGGATGGAATAACATAGAGTGACCGGCGCGGGATCTATAAATTGGCATATCTTTCGAACTTGGTTTATCAGCAATATCACAGGCGAGTCTCGTCCAAGTACCGGTTGGTACATGGTAGGAATACAGTCCAGAAAAATGTGGTTCCGATATCAAGCCGTGCTCGTCAGCGCTGCTGATTTTGAATAAAAATAACGTCAAGAAAAGCAGAAAATTTTTCAAGACAAACGCGTATTGATAAATATATTAAAATATAAGCTAAACACATAAAGAGAATATAGAATAACATACAAGAGAAAAACTTCTTACATATTAAATTATATATGTACGATTTTGAAATTAATTTTTTCTTAACATTTTCGATGGTTTTTGTTTGAATCCAATAGACAACCCAACAGATTTTCTCCTTCTTTCAACGTAACTTACTTCGTTGGATGAGCCAGTACTCGCCCGCCAAACACATAAATTGTTCGCTTTTCTACGTCCATCGACATTTGATGATCGAACACAAGCGGCGGTCCGCCCATACTTCCTGTATCTTCCGAGATTTGTGTCCACTTGTCCGATTCGATGTCATAGACGTAAAAGTCGCTCTTTAGATTCTCGCATGTGCGGTACTGCGTGTCTAAGTATCTGCCCAATGTGAAAAGCTGCCGTCTCTGTGGATCTAGACACATTTTGTGGCACGAACGTGCACTCGGCCCTCCCTAAAAATATCAATCGTGACAAAACTATTGATAATCACAAAAAGAAATGGTAATGTTGTTTTTGTTTATTTTTATAAATCAATGAGAGCGAAGAAATTTGCTATCCAAATTCTGTTTTCTATCAAAACATAAATTTTCCAGACTGCAAAGATCGCATTATATACTGAATTTATCGAGCATCACCGACCACTGCTTCAGTATCCTTGCATATCAGCGTCCACTTGCCGGCTTCAATTTCGTAAGACCACAAATCAGAAAGATCTTGGTTACCATCCCAACCACCAAACAGATAAAGGACCTCAGCTGTCGGATCAAGTACCATTTGATGACCACCTCGCATTCCAGGCTTGGGCTCGCTGGACGATAACTTCGTCCAAATTGCTCTATAAGTTTGAGCATTAATATAATCGCTTAAGAGCCCCACTAAAAAGCGCATTTAACAGTGTGTAAGCGATATGTGGCTGTGAAACGAAGACGAAGAAGTTGAACACACAGATGTGACTTGGACACGAGAACTTACTCGTAAGCGCGTTACTGATGAAACACTCGGCCTGCAGGTGATCACCTTTGGTAACCAGAAGATCGTACAGCGTCGACAATCGAACATCTTCTAACGGCACACCAGTGACTCTCTGCAGAGTCTCTACGATTTCAGGCTGTTCCATTTGTCGAAAATGCTTCATACACAATCTTATCAATTCCTTCTGTCGATACTACAATAACACACATGTGTTGTTTACATCTGGTATATTTGTTTATGCTTCTTATTGGATGTAAGACTTTACCGTGTTGAACCATTCAAGACAAGGTTTCAAAACGGATGGATCATTAACACCATTCAATCTGATGTGCCATATAGAAAAATTGAAACTAGGACCCCACGATTGCAAAGGAAGAACCTTGATGTACTTTACAGGAAAATATTGTCCTTCCTTTCCCAAAATGTGCTTGAGATCAAATGTTTCTGGTATAGAATCATTCCTAAGTCCACTGAAATAACAACAAATGTCTAAATTGTAAATGATGATTGTAAACAAAATTAAAAACAAAAATATTGCACATAAGACAAGAAGTAACTAATACAGAAAATATTGACAAACCCTTCGAGAATTTCCATCATATTCTCTGGCTCCAATCCACCAAATATTTTGAACTTCTTTATGTTACATACATGGGTTTTTTCATATTTGCCGAAAGTAATTTGCTTAACAATAGATGGACTCAGCAGTTTAAGAATGAGATACTGAAACACGCATATAATATTACTATAAATATCGATATAAAAACACAAATGTGTACGGGACTGTACGAAAACAATTTTCACCTGTGGATGATTGTCAATATCAGAAGACCATCGTGAAGATTGATCCGACGGTATATCGACAATGATGTTTCTGAAAAAAAGACACAACAAAACACACGTGAGTCGCGCGAATGTTCGATATACCTTTGCGAAGGCGCGTATTATTGTTGCGTTTGCAACTTTGTTTCTCGAACTCCGTTTCTTTAGGTTAGAAGACTGCAATTTTCCGTGTAAACCATTTTTCACACACAATCGTACAGACGACACGACGACGCGCCTCGTGAATATCAGGAACACTTACTCGGGTACGTAATTGGAGGAATAACTCGAGCACTTGTAAATACGATACTCCAACACTCTGAGAAAATCGCTACTACTCTCGCTGGACGCCATGTTATACAATTGTGCGCAGAAGAGGGAAATCTTGAGAACGGCCGCGGGACGGGGAATTTTACGTCCCCGTCATCGAGCGCCGCAACATGCATATTTTGCAAAAATTGTGTAGCGAATGATTACGAAATCATCAAAAACAAATTTATCTTTTTTGGTGTAAAACATCTTAGAAATTTATAAGCCTTTTACATTTTTGAGATTTAGAAAACATTCTTAAAATCAAAATTTGTCCAGATTTTAAAATATGTACATTTAGTTGTTTATTCTTCTAAAAATAATTTCTTGAAACTATTCCAAAATTTGTATAACAAATTGATCAATTGTTTGCACTTCTTTTCGGAACACAGACCTGAGAATATTTTTCACTAGGAAACTTCTTGTTTATACTGTGGCAAAAGTGCATAAATCTGAAAATGATGGACTCGTTTTTTTGACCTAGTTTACACCGTACATCTTTTTGCATCAAATAACATTTGTTTTTCAATGTATAATTTTGGTGTTTACATCATTATAAATGGCCTAGTTTATACCGATCGCTTAATGCGCGTATTAAGTACTATATTCGTATTAAATTAGCTTGGTCTCAATAATATAAACAATGTCATATTAAGCCGGTACGTGTTCACGTGTATCTTATCAAAATGATACGCGTATCAAGCACATTTATAATGATGTAAACATCAAAATTATACATTGACAAACAAATTTTGTTTCGTATCAATGGCTGCTTTCCTTTTAAGAGTCACAGTCGACACAAGTCGACACAAGAGTCATTCTGTCTTTGTTTCTCACTGAATACTGAACGAAGACAGAATGACTTTTGTGTCGACTGTGTCTCCTAAAAGAAAAGCAGTCATTGATACGCGAAACAAAATTTGTTTGTCAATGTATAATTTTGATGTTTACATCATTATAAATGTGCTTGATACGCGTATCATTTTGATAAGATACGCGTGAAGAAAGCGTATCGTACCAGCTTAATATGACATTGTTTGAATTTGCAGTAGACGATCATCCATTAGAGAATCATGTAAATTTATTGTTAAAATCCATCGCCAAAACTTATCTTAATTTATGAATTAGATATGTATGTACCAACATGAGCCCACACAGAGAATAGAATAAGAAACTTTTATATAAAACTTATATTATTTAAAGAACAATAAATTGTGATAATAAAATTTATTTAATATTATTTATTTACTATTATTTACAACCTTGACTTTTGATATTATTGTTGCACGTTAAAATTATTTTCTTTCAACTACATCTTTGTCTCATTAGGCGATTTTTGGCGATCGTATGGTACATATACCAAAGTGTACCAAAATATAATTTGAAGTCACTCAAACTATAGTTTGGTACACTTTGGTATATGTACCCTTTGACTATATAAATATGGACTGCTAGTCGGGAGATCTGACCGTAGACGACATTGAACAGCGCACTCTGAGTTTGGGCCAATAACTAATAGGTCGTCACGTGGTCCTTGCCAGTGTCACCAGTATTATATATATATATATATATATATA